CCAGTCTGAGTAGACCATACTGACATTGACGGACCAAGGGTCGGATTCAGTGTAAGTCAGCATCGTATGATCATATATGTAAATGTGCACGGAGGTTTATTGAATCAGAGAAACTCATTCTATACTCTGAGCACTTTTACAGTTTCTCCCGTCTGAGATCTCTGATGGTTAAGGACAGCGGAGATTCTTTTCCACAGGTATAACATTTACATGCCTCTTCTCCCGAATGAATTTGGTGTTTCATAAGGCGCTAGAGCAAGATGGGTAGCAATATTTGTCTGTCGCAGTAGAAAAGAGCAACAGACCAGTAGCACCTTAAAGACTAACAAAATTTCAGGCAGAGGATGAGCTTTTTGTGAGTCACTCATGAAAACTCATCCCCTGCCACAAATTTTGTTAGTCTAAGGTGCTACTGATCTCTTGCTCTTTTCTAGTGCTTCTTAAGGTTTGATTTGGCAGAAAAAAAGATTTTGCCACAAACTGGGCAGCGGTAGTTTTCCACCTGTGGATTCTTCAATGCCACTGAAGGTCTGACGTCTCACCCTTTCTCATTCTAGATTCTGAACATTGATGTGGTTTGTCCCTGTGTGGATCCTCTGGTGCCATTAAAGTCAGGATGAGGAACTGAATCTCTTTCAGCACTCGGGAGGTTTCTCCTCCATGTGGATTCTTTGATGCTTCCTCAGGGATGATATCCAATTAAACTTCTTTTCACATTCGGAGCACTGGTACAGTTTCTCCCCGGTGTGGGTCATCTGATGTACTGTGAGGCTTATGCAGTGGCTGAAGCTCCTTTCGCACTCTGAACATTTGTAAGGTTTCTCCCCTGTGTGGATCCTCTGGTGCTGCTGAAGGTGGAATGGGGAACTGAATCTCTTTCCACACTCTGAGCACTCATAGGGCTTCTGCCCTGTATGGATGCTTTGATGCTGCTGCAGGTGTGATGTGCGACTAAAACTACTTTCACACTCTGAGCATTTGTAAGGTCTCTCCCCTGTGTGTGCTCTTTCATGCACCGTGAGGCTTAAGCGGTGACGGAAGGCCTTCCCACATTCTGAGCACTGATACGGTTTCTCTCCAGTGTGGATCTTTTCATGCCGCTGAAGGAGGGAACTGGAGCCGAATTTCTGTCCGCACTCAGCGCACTTGTAAGGCTTCTCGCCCGTGTGGATTCTCTGATGCCGTCGCAGGGATGATCTCCGAGTAAACTTCTTCCCACACTCTGAGCACTGATATGGTTTCTCCCCTGTGTGGAGTGTCTGATGCTGCTGAAGGTGTGAGGCCCACCGAAACCTCTTTCCACACTCCAAGCACTTATAAGGTCTCTCTGCTGTGTGTGTCCTTTGTGGCACAGTAGGACTTATGTGGTCACTGAAGCTCTTCTCAGCCTCTGAGCCCTGAGACTGTTTCTCTCCTGTGGGGATCACCTGGTGCTCTTTGTGGCGTGGTTCCCCACTGTAGCTGTTTTCACACTCTGGAATTTGGGGGGGGTCTTCCCCTTTGTGGATTCTTTGATGCCAAGTAAGAGCTGTCCTCCAACTGAAGCTCTCTCCGCACACTGAGCAATTATATGGTTTATCTATCGAGTGAATTTCTTGATGTGAAACAAGATCCAAGTTCTGACTAATGCTTTCCCCAAACCCCATGGTTTCATTTTGATTTTCCCCTGTGTGAGCTGTGATACTTTTATTCCTTCTATTTTGGGTTGCTTTTTCTTCTTTGATCGGGATCTCCTGGAACTCCCCACCTTGGCAAGGAATGGGTTTATCATTCCTCTCAGCGGTGCCATTTCCGTCCTGCCTCTTTAGTCCACCTTGATTCCCGAAGCTTCCTTGCAAATCTTCATTCTTGATTTTGTACAATGATAATATCTGGAGTTCCCCGTCATTTTCATTCTCCTGTACATCACCTGCTTGAACAAAGGCAGAGAGATCTATTTTTACCACTCTGGCAAGAAGCCAAGTCTCAAATTTAAAAAGGTAAAGGTTCCCTTGCTCGAAAGCCAGTCAAGTCTGAATCTAGGGTTGCGGTGCTCATCTCCGTTTCAAAGCCGAAGAGCCAGCTCTGTCCGAAGACGTTTCCGTGGTCATGTGGCCGGCATGACTAAACACCAAGGCGCACAGAATGCTGTTACCTTCCCACCGAAGTGGTCCCTATTTATCTACTTGCAATTTCTTGCTTTCGAACTGCTAGGTTGGCAGGATCTTATATACAGTGCAAAGGGCCCAGAGTGGGAGGTTAAATGCGAGAACTGTCTACTCAGACTGGTAGCAGCTCTCCAGGGTCTCAGGCTGAGGTCTTTCACATCACCTACTGCCCAGTCCTTTTAACTGAAGATGCCGGGGATTGAACCTGGGACCTTCTGCATGCAAAGCAGAGGCTCTTCCGCTGAGCCACAGCCCTTCCCCTCTTAGGGCCTGAGTTTAAAAAAAAAACACACACACACCAGGAAGCCATTAAAAGAAGGCACATTTGGCAGAGCTTCTGTTCTTGGTTATTAACCTTCATGTCTTCACGGAACTTCCACGTTCAGGGGCAGAATGACAATGAATGCCAGACGTGGAGTGTGGGGCAGGTGATAAAGAATAAAAAAGCCAGAAGGGCTGCAGCCTTCTAGCCCAGCTTGAGGTGATGTGAAAGACCTCAGCCCGAGACCCTGGAGAGCTGCTGCCAGTCTGAGTAGACAAGACTGACCTCGATGGACCAAGGGACAGATTCAGTAGAAGGCAGTTTCATGTGTCTATGTGGGGGCTTACTGGAAGTATCTTGCACGCCACTGCAGGGAAGAGGATGTGGTACTGGATCGGCCTTAGCGAGGCTCTTCCTAACACCTCAGCTCTGGCAGGGTTCTTGCATTGAACCTTCCGCTCTGGGCCCTTTCCCCAGAATATCCAACCCTCTGGAGAATCTAAGGACAAGGCGGCCCCTTGAAGGGAGGCAAAGAGTCTCTGCTGAGCTCAGCCTCAGAAGGAGCTTCTGAGCATCTTGGACCTCAGGCCCCAGAAGGCCTCCCTCCCTCCCTCCCTCCTTACCCATCAGGATGGCCTCTCCATCCTCCTCTTCCTTGATGTCCACTGAAAACTGCTCCTGCTCGCCCTCAGACGGAGTCCAGCCTGCCTCAGAGATGCTCCCAGATGCCTCCTCCAAGGTCACCTGCAACAGAAGAGGGGGACCCTTTCAGGGCAGAGTGACAGATCTGGGAAGAGGGAGGGGTATAAAGGCTGAAGGACTCCATTCCCCATCCTGAATGTAACAGGGGGAAATCAGAACGGAGCTCCTTAAATGAACATACAGGCTGTCGAGGAGGAACATCTTTTGGGGCCCGAATGATAACACAAAAAGGAACTAGGAATCAGCCTGATGGAAAAGCATGGGGCCCCCCACACGGAGGAGAGATCTGACAGATCAAGTAACCAAAGGTTGCCGACAGTGTTCCCTCTAAGCTGAGTTAGTGTGAGCTGGATCACAGTTTTTTTAGCCTCCGGCTCACGCATTTTTGTCTCGGCTCAGGAAGGAGGGCTCCAGAGCAAACTAATTCATGCAGCAGCCAAATGGCTCGCTCACAACTTGAATTGCAGTAGCTCACACGGTAAAAATTTTTGCTCACAAGACTCCACAGCTTCGAGGGAGCACTGGTTGCCGGTTCCAGGTTGGGAAATTCCTGAAGATCTGGGGTTGGAACCTTGGGAGGGCAGGTTTAGGGGAAAGGGAGGGCCTCAGCAAGGTCTCCAACACTGCCACCTTCTCCAGGGGAACTGATCTCTGTAGTCTGGAGAGGAGATGTAATTCTGGGAGATCTCCGGGCCCCAGCTAGAGGTTGGCACTTGGCAACCCTAAGACGATGTCACAGATGCTGTGATCTAATTGTCCGTTCAGTTAATAGATATTCAGTTTTCCAGACCTCCTACAAATTTTAAGGAGAATAAGAAAGAGATTGGGTTTATACCCCGCCCTTCACTACCCAAAGGAGCCTCACAGCGGCTTACAATCTCCTTCCCCTTCCTCTCCCCACAACAGACACCCTGTGAGGGAGGTGGGGCTGAGAGAGCTCTTGAGAGAACTGCTCTTGAGAGAACGGCTCTGAGAGAACTTGTGACTGACCCAAGGTCACAGCGGCAGCTGCATGTGGAGGAGTGGGGAATCAAACCCGGTTCATCCAGATTAGAGTCCACGCTCTTAACCCCTGCACCAAACTGGCTCTCTCTTTAAATGTAAGTCCAACACAAAACAATTTGAGGGTGTGCTCTTTTAGGGAGACGTGGGGCCCCATTCACATGTTCCTAAACTGAAGGATACTACCCCCACCCCAAACACTCAACTTTATCTGAGTTGGATAATGGAGCCAACAGATTAGACAATCATACCACAGAGTTCCCCTTCACAGTTTTCGGGCCCGGCTTCACTCCAGGCCCTCCCGCACTCAGGGCTCACACAGCAAAAGGGCCTCACCTGCTTCTCCTGCCTCAAGAGGAACTCCTCGGCCAGGGCCACCACCTGCGAGCAGCTCTCAGGGCCGCTCTCCCTCACCCAGCTCTGGATCTCCGGGGGAAGGACGCTCAGCAGCTGCTCAAGGATCAAGAGTTCCAGGATCTGCTCCTTGCTGTGATTCTCCACTCTCAGCCACCCGCGGCACATTTCCCGCAGTTGGCTGTAAGCCCCCCGCGGCCCCTCGGCCTCCTGGTAACAGAAACGCCTAAACTCTTGACGCTGCTTCTCCCGGCTTAGGGCGTCTCCTCGCAAGATGGCTGCCTTCACCTTCCCATAATCCTCTCTGTCACTGACATCCAGATTGTTGAAGGCCTTCTCAGCTTCTCCGCTGAGGGCTGGCAGGAGTCGGGTCACCCACTCTTCCTGGGGCCACTGACAGGCTTCGGCCACTTGCTCAAAGGAGGCCAGAAAGGCCTTGGCATCCTCCCAGGGTGAAGGTTTTTCCGGGCATAGTGGAACTGTCCAGTGTGACTGAGGGGACTCTAATGTCCTGAGGAATTGCTGCCACTGGGTTTCCCACTGTTGCAGGGAGCCCTCGCCAGGTTCCTCTTTAACTAGTCCTGGCCTCCTTTGGAGGAATTCTCTGATATTCCCAGCCTGGAGTACATGAGGGGGTTTTGCCAATCTCTCTTGTGCCTCCCCTATCGTCGTGTCTTGCCCCTCCATTTTCATATTGGGTGATCGCTCAATGATATCTTTCCTATAGAAAGTCATGGGAATGAATTACAGCGTTCTTGACTACGCCTCTCCCTGGAAAAAAGAGACAGAGACAGAAAGAGAGAAAAGAGACAACTGGGTTTGTGTTCTCTGTTTTCATTTGAATGGGTCATATACAGTAGTTACAGGCTCTTGTACACGGGCAGTAGAGTTGCACTTGTCTAAATGATTCACAAAATTACTTGGATAAATTATTAGGACTGTGGTATAACTTGCTGAAACTAGGATCCTGCCATGTGGCTTTTGTATCATTTAATGTGTCATGTTAATTCTTATGCTTTGCTTCAGTTCTATTTCTACAACCCAAATGCTATTTATTAAATGCCCCATCCTGTCAATTGTAGTGATTCACTCTTGTGTAATCTACCTTGAGTCCAAGTGAGAAAGGTGGACTATAAATAACATAAATATTTAAAAAACAAAACAAAAAACATTTTATTATCAGGATATAACATGTCAAACATTAAAACATTCTGTCATTCATTATATACCCCTCTTTTTTTTTCTTTCCCCCTCCCTCCCTTTCTTCTGGCTTCCCGCAGTGCTCCCACACACCCCTCCTAGTCCTTCTTCTTATCCATCATTTTCTTCTAAAACAAAACTTAATAGGTAACAATTTCTTTAACTAATATCATCATATATTCAACTATTCCCGAGTTTTTTCTGTTCTTAATAATTATCAAAACAAAATAGGTTATTCTTTACGTCCCAATGTTTCTTCAAGTATTCTTTAAAGTCTATCCAGTCTGCAAAAAACCCTTCTTCCTCTTTGTTATTAAGTTTTCTTGTCAGTTTGTCCATCTCTACCATAAAAAGCAACTTCTTTATCCATTCCCAAATCTCAGGTGTTCTTTCTTGTAGGTCATTCTAGCTGTTGTAATCAAGTACCATATCAATGTTCTCTTTGTTATATTCACTTCCTCCATTTTAAGACCCAAGAGTAATATTTCTGGTTCTTTCTTAAAAGTACATTTCAAAAATTTTTGCATCTCATTATGAACCTCCGTCCAAAAATTCACTGCTTTATCACAAGTCCACCACATATGGTAAAAAGAGCCTTCTTTTTAATAACATAAATATTTTTAAAGTAAATATAATTTTTAATAAATCAGGCCTTTAGCATACTTTGCCCTGGGAAATCAGTTCCTACTAACCCACACCTTGAACTGAGCCCGGAAATTAAAAAGTATTCAATAGGGTTGATGCAATAGGGTTGATGTGATATTCACCCTCTGCCAGGGTCCTGATAGTATCTGGATTGGGGCTTTTTGTACCCGCTGAATGTGTCTTCAAAGGCAGGCCCCTGTGGACTGCAGTACAGTACTCTAGCCTTGAGCTTAGTCAATTCCTGTCTACTCCACCCACCAGAGGCTCTCTTGAGTCTTTCCCAACAAAGTCATATTGGTTGGTTTAGGGAATGACAGAACCAGGGGGGCCATGCATGCCAAACATGGGATCTGCCACTGAACCACGGTCTTCCCCCCACCACAGAAATGCCTTCCTCCCCATCCATGGGCCATGTACCATCCACACCTTGTGTCTCTTACCCGGTCTGTCTTGTACCAAAGGGAGTCCAAAAGAGCGGCTGCATCAACTGAAATGCACATTTTTTTCTTTTGCAATTTGCCTTTTTTTTACTATCAAAATTCAACAGTAGGGATTTGGAAACCCACATCTACCTGCAACATTTAAATCTAAAGAATCGAAGAATTCCCTCTTTTCTACGACAGGATCTAAGCTCCAGTTTAAAGGATTACCTCCTTCTGCATTGTGCTCTTTCTTTATAACCCTTTTTATTAGCCATTGAAACCAAAACTCTTATTTCAATGATTTTTTTTTAAAGGCAGAGATGTCATCTGTCTTTCTTCAAAACCCAGGAAACTCCACACTCTAACTCCAGAGTGAACAGTCTGGTTGTGGTAGAAAACTGCGAGAGTCCCGTAGTAATTTACAGTCTGGCAACATTTGTGGCAAGGGATGAGCTTCCATAAGTCACTGCTCACTCCAGAAGAAGTGAGCAGTGACTCATGAAAGCTCCTACCCTGCCACAAATGTTGTTAGTCTTAAAGGTGCTATTGGACTCTTGCTCTTTGCTACTACTACAGATAGATTAACCCATCTTGGTCTGGTTGTGGTTACTCAGCAGGGATGGCAAAGCACTGTAGGGTTGCCAGATACAGGTTGGGAAACTCCTGGAGATTTGGGGGTGGAACCTCAGGGACAAGGACCTAAGTGGGGTACAATGCCATAGAGTCCACCCTGCAAAGCATCCATTTTCTCCAGGGGAACTGGTGTCTTGTCTGGAGATGAGCTGTAATTCCTGGGGATCCCCAGGTCCCACCTGGAGGCTGGCATCCCTATGAAAGCAGTCAGATCTCACAGGTACACACAGGTGGGATTCACTAGAACAAAGTCTGAGTCCAGGGGCACCTTGAAGACCAACAAAGTTTAATTCTGGGTAAAAGCTTTCAATTGAGCAAACTTCAGAGGACGACGGAAGACAGGAAGGCCTGGCGTGATCTGGTCCATGGGGTCGCGAAGAGTCGGACTCGACTGTGCGACTGAACAACAACATAAGCTTTCATGTGCCTCTGTTGTGTCTGTTTCTTTACAAACCGGGAGCAGGAAATGGGAGGGATTGCAAACTGCAGGTGTATTTTATACTGTGTGACTGAGAATAATAAAGCTAACCTGGAGACTGAAGTGGAGGCGTTTTATTACGATATAACATTTTGGCGACAAACTGGGATGGCTTTTTTGCCTTTGAACCCACCATTCTGTTTTTTTACAAAAGTCCAGGGGAGCCTCCGATATAACAGCTTCTTCGGTTACTTCCAGGCCTCCGCGATTAAATGGAGACCCAGAGAAGGGACCCTCCTCCCTCTCAGTCTGGGTGGGAGGGACCGTCTCCACGCGGCCAGCTCTATCCTCACCGCGACCACCACCAAGCCCTCTCCGGGCATCCAAGACTCTGCCCTGATGCCCAAATGCCTTTCCACAACGGGATGCCGAGTGACCAGGAGAAACTCCTTTTAAAAAAATAAATAAATAGTACGATTGATCTGCAGAGATCAGTGGCAGGATTTGTTCCCGGCTTGGGAGGCGGGAGGTGGACCTGATCCCCTCCTGCTTCTTGCTGCAGATCCAGCGCCAGTTCAAAGCTCCGGATCCAGAGGTCGCAAGCAAGGCAGCCCTCCTCGGGAGCAGAAAAGGGGCCAGCCTGACCTCCTCCTGCCAGGCCCTGCTCTGCACGTGGGGGACCCAGAGAGACCCTTCCCCCGCCGCAGGGCTGAGCATCCCGGGGCGCTTCTCCCCCTTCCCTGTCCCTCGGCTCTTTACCTGTCCAGGCGGCCTCCAGTTTCGCTGCGAGCAAAGCCAGATCCCCCAAAGGAGGAAGTTGGAGGACTTCAGTATTTCTCGTTTCCCTTTGTATCCTCTCTAGGAACCGCGTCTCGGGCTGCTTCTTAACCCTCTGCTGGCTCTTCTGGACAGGGAGGGCGAAAAGACTCTTATTTAATGACTCCTTTCTTTTCAAGTTAAGGAAAAGATTAAATGAGCCTTTTAAGACCCTTCCTGCCTGGCCAAGGAAGTCCCCAAAGCGGAAAGTGTGGCTATGGTTGTTCATGCTCAGATGCATGGTCAGCCAATAGAAAACTAGGCTGAAAGAAAGCTAGTAAAAACCCTCGCCCGGTGAGGTCAGGGAACGTTCACTCAGTGCTTACAAAAGACTCTCCAGAAAGCAACAGTGAACACTTTAACTAAGGAACCCCCAAAAAGCAGCTAAGATCTTACCTAAAACAATCACTGCATTTTTGAAACTGTCAAACTGACCTAGTAAGGGATTGACAATGCACCCATTCACTATTAATTTTATGAAACAATAAATATTTAGAGATAGGAACTAGTAAGCAATCAAATAAAGCACTGGGGAAATTCTCCCACCCCACCTGAAACATGGATTGAAAAATAACCCACATCCAGATAGTTAAACCTAGGAGCTGACTTCTCTTCATTAGATTTAAAAAAAAAAACTATAAATGGGAGATTTCTACACCTCTCCTACAAGAGAGAACAACATAGAAGCTTGACTGTGGTATTCTCACAATAACCAAAAAAGCTGATGTTTGACACACAACCAAGCCAAGATATACCATTGACCAATGCAGACTGGATATTTCTGTAATTATCAAACGTATTGCATCCAAAAAAGGTGTTCCCCCCTCCCGCCGACATCTAATCCTTACAACAATCCTGCAAGGCATGTTAGTCTGAAAATGTGATTGGCTGAAGGCCATCCAATGAGCTTCCAGGCCAAGTGTGGATTTGAACCCAGATCCACCCAGTCATAACCCAATACTCTGGGCTTTTCTGCAACTGGTATTGCTTCTGGCCCATATGGCTTCAATTTATCCCGATTTCTGCATGCATTTTTGTGCCTTTAGTTTTCAGTTCTTTTTTCAGCTGTTGTTTTTGTTGTTTCCCATTTTTCTTCCAGTCCTTTTGAGAATACCATTACCCTGATGTTTTCCTGAAAATCAACATTGAGTCACCCTGTTTCTCATGTCTAATGGGGTTTTTTTGTGTCCCACCCATCTCCAGCCCAGAAACCATATAAAAAAAGGTAAAGGTTCCCTTGCTCGAAAGCCAGTCGAATCCGACTCTAGGGTTGCGGTGCTCATCTCCGTTTCAAAGCTGAAGAGCCAGCGCTGTCCAAAGACGTTTCCGTGGTCATGTGGCCGGCATGACTAAACACCAAGACGCACGGAACGCTGTTACCTTCCCACCAAAGTGGTCCCTATTTATCTATTTGCAATTTCTTGCTTTCGAACTGCTAGGTTGGCAGGAGCTGGAACTAGAGATGGGAGCTCACTCCATCACGTGGCACACTCGGGTCTCGAACTGCTGAACTACTGACCTTCCACAGCCTGCAGTTCAGCGTCTTAACCACTTGAGCCACCGCAGCTCCAGAAACCATATAAGCATGCACTTAAAATAAAAAAGAAGGGGCTGCTGTGATGCCAACACCGGCCTTCATTAAAAATCCTAATTATTTAAGGCACGTGCAAAAGAAAATAAGCTGACTCTTCCACAAGTATGAAAAAGCAGAGTGTTAAGTCGCTCGCTTAACAAAGAAGTCGGAGAGTGATTCAGCAAGAACACAACTTTATTCTTCAACTCGAACACAACTCCAACACGGATAAACATCTGATAGCTAGAACAGAACAGTTCCGCTTTTACATTGCAGTTCCCCTGCTTTTAAACTCTCCCGGCTAATGTAGCCACACCCACTGTACAAATACCAACCAATATGGTTGTTCAGATAAGGACCAATCACGGACATTCCCGCTTAGGGAGCTTGCTGTAAAGTGATTGGCTAGGTGCTTCCTGGGCTAGCAATACGATTGGATGGATTTGGATCCTAGCCCAGGACGAAGCTTAAAATAGCTTTTTTTTTTTTAATAAAGGCTTTATTTACTCTCCTAAAAAGGAGAGGTATTTCGCTTAAATAGAAAAATAGGGAGGGTGTATAGTGGGAGAAAGAGAAAGCTGAGTGATATATTAACTTGTAAATTAATCTGTTAGTAATGTCCAAATTATCTTCTTAGGCATCTTCTGTGTGCAGTCAAACTTCTTTCTTCAAACCAGTTAAAGGTGTTATCTATGTTAATGTATTAGTAGTGTTCATTTGATGCTTTGTTAGTTAAAGTTTCCTCAAGGCGCATTCAGAACCGCTCCTTCGCGTGCTGGCTTCTTTTAAATTCCCGATTTCATGGAGGGGCTTCTTCTGTTTCCCTCTCTCCGGCTTTTCCAGTCCTCCTCCGGGTCGCTGTTTCCATTTCATATACTGTAAATCTTCACTCTTTCATGCTCTTTCATGCCCTTTCCAAAGATCTCTAGCTCTGAGAATGGATTTTCTTTTTTTTTAATTCCAGTTTCACTTTTAAACGCTGCCATTCTCTTCGCTGGATCTTCCTCCGCAACTGTTGACTTTTAAAAGCGCTTATAAGGCACTTTCTCACTGTCACAGTTCAACTTTTCTCACAGTTCCCGGCCAGAGTCACAGCCATAAACATTCCAAACATTAATCAGCCGGTTCTCACGAAAAAGCAAACGCCCAGACCGGAAGTTCCTCCCTTCTTCTCCGCTTGTCTTTTAGCCCAGCTCCGACATCTTATTATTTTTGTTTACTTTTAATAAAGTTCTTAAAACGCGCTTCAAAGAAACAGAAATTTTCTCGCTTTATTCCAAATGCATCAAAACAAGTCACTACTACTCGCACAGTCCATTCCCCCCCTTTATTCTCTCGCTAACGAAGTTAGAGGGTTTACCTCCTCGTCTTTTCCGCTGGGGGGGGGAGCGCTCTTAATTCTTTTTCTTCGCATTTGACAACTCACAGTTTAGCCGATCTTTTCTTTTTTCATTTCATCAGTTGTTCGCTTTATCACTCGGTGACGTCTG